AACTAACACAATTTATTAAAAAAAAAAATGATTAAAAATTCAAAATGTATTAGTGCCCAATAAAAATCACTGGACAAGAAAAGTTGGTATGATCTTTAACAAATTTTGAAATAGCTAAATGTGTAAAAGTTATAAAATTATTAAAAGTATAAAACAGAGAGAAAATGTTCAAAAAAATCTATATCTATACTAATAAATGGAGAGCCGGTTTCTTTTGTTCGGTTATACTGCGAAAACTATTGGGCCAATCGGAATAATACTTATACCATAAGATGCAGCGTGTTTCGGAGAAGGTTTTAGTATATGATATGATGATATGTGGATGATTACTTATCCGGAACTTATATTTTTTTGACAGAAATAATGAATTTTTATTGTAACTAAATTTATTCTATTCGATTGTTATTTGTTTAAAATAAATTTTTTTAATTCTATTGGTTATGTTTATATACTAGGCAGGTTTCTCCACTTTTGAGACCTGCAATTTCTTTAATTAAAGCTTTCAATGCTCATTATAATTTTTTTTTTTTTTTTTCATATCAATTGTTATTCATTTTTGTAAGAAAGACACGAGAATGTTACAATGATTGCACATTGAAAGTTACAATGAATATTAGCTAGAATAATTACATGGATAAAAGGTACATGCCAATTCGATAAAATTGGGAATCTGTGCAAGTCAAAACAATACTCTAATTAAATTTCAAGTCTAGATCTAAAAATGCAATTCCATAAAGCGTCCAGCGGAGCAGGCGAGTAAGAGCTAGTAAATAAATATAAGAAAGGCTAGCCAATGAATCCGATATAGAAAACGAAACAGGATAAATGATCTTGAGAAGGGGCGAAGAAGTGTCATGGGTGTCAGTTCACTTTCAGCCGCTATATTAAGAATTTACTGTGTATTGCAATACATGTATTAGTACATATCTGAATATACATAATTTTAATTAACAGAGACAATAATAAGCTTTGCATTGGATTGGTTGAGCGCTTCACTGGTACATTGGCTCAAGCATTGAGTGATTATATCTGATTGTCAGAATAGGTAGTCATTAAATAATTTTAATTATTCATCACTGTTTCATGGTAATATGCCATTCGATCATCAATTAAAAAATATTTCAGTTTAAATTTAAAGACTTAAGGTAGTTGTCATGGTACAATATTGTCAAAAAATTAGAGATTATACGCGCCGCAAAAGTATATGAGCTTGTAGCTATATAATCCATAATTTTTACGCAAGACTGTACCTGTGGAGACGCAATCCATACAATTGTTTCTGTCCGACTCCATAAATATACACTTTTTCATAAATTGCTGAACTTTAATCCGTTATTTATAAATAACTAGACGGTCATGAGTTTTGTTTTATTTTTTTTTAAAAAGACTGTCAGTTTTTTGAAAGTTTCTGACAGTTAGTTTTTTTTTTTTTATAATTAAGAAATTGGTACAGAACTGCAGAGAGCGTATGCAATCAATGTTAAATATCCAATTTTTAATTGAATTCATCTCGGGTTATACACGGAAAAAAATTAACTGTTGCTGCAACAGGAGGCAGTCATGTTGCAGCAACAGGATTTTCCTGCAGCTGCAACATGACTGCCTCCTGTTGCAACAACAGGAAAAAATCCTGTTACAGCAACAGGATTTTCCTGTAGCTGCAACAGGAGGCAGCCATGTTGCAGCAACAGGATTACTACTGTTGTTGCGACTTAATAATAAAATATAGTTGGGTCATTCCATGTCAAATTGACCTACAGTTGGAATTGACCCCTTTTGATATGGATAAATTTTGGTCAGAAATTTTCTTTTATCATATAACGAACTTCTGATTATTTCTGATTTTTATTGGAAATTTATATTTGTTTGAGTTATTTGACGTTAAAAACTGTTATTGAAGTGAAGAAACGGACAAAATATATCATGCGTTAAAAAAAAAATAAAAAATTATATCATGCGTTAAGCCTGACTTTAATATTTCTTCAAAAAAATAAAAAAAAGTTAAAATTATTTTATTATTTAATATTTCCACGTCGTACATTTAATTTTTTAATGCTCAAAATTACAATAATATGTATCTGCATAACTTTACCTTGTTTAAAAGTTGCAAAAAACAAGAAAAAATTTTTTTTTGAAATTCAAAAATTCATATTTAAAAAAAAAAAGTTCTCAAAATTTCAGAGTCTTTTAAGATCAGTACAAGGTACTAAATAAAAAAAAAATTGAGCCAAAATTTTAATGTCAATCGACATTTTTGACGATTTTCAAAAATTTAAGATTAGACAAATTTGGCATTTTTCAAAATATTTTTTTTTTGATAGCCCCAAGTATCCCCTTTCAAACAAACGAAAGGCCATTCCTGTATCTATAATAGCGTTCGCGATATTCCAAAAACAAAATTGAAAAACTGAAAAAATAACGAAATTTTGAGTTTGCATATCTTTTGAATAAAATTTTTTAATTTTTTTTCCTCTGGCAGAAGTTCGTTATATGATAAAAGAAAATTTCTGACCAAAATTTATCCATATCAAAAGGGGTCAATTCCAACTGTAAGTCAATTTGACATGGAATGACCCAACCATATTTTATTATTAAATCGCAACAACAGTAGTAACCCTGTTGCTACAACAGGACTTTATCCTGTTGCTGCAACATGGCTGCCTCCTGTTGCAGCTACAGGAAAATCTTGTTGCTGTAACAGGATTTTTTCCTGTTGCTGCAACAAGAGGCAGTCATGTTGCAGCCACAGGAAAATCCTGTTGCTGCAACAGTATTTTTTCCTGTTGCTGCAACATGACTGCCTCCTGTTGCAGCAACAGTTTATTTTTTTCCGTGTAGGTGGTCAATCGACTTCAAATTTTAAGAGTAATTGTATCATCATATCCTTAATAAGTATACAAAAATTTAGAATTTTCTGACGGTATGCCTTAACCACGACAACTATCTTAATAACTTAGATACTTATTACCCTTTTGAACTAAAACTTTTACGATATTTCAAAATGAAAATAGTATATTTTTAAAATCATATCAACTGATGACTAAACTACTTAATTTTTCACTAACTTCAAATTTTTTAATTTTACAATTTATTTTATGGTTAATTATTATTGACTTATTATTGTTATCTTGAAATTGACCATAAATATGACAATTCATAATACCAGAAAATTTTCGACAAAACTTTGTCTTTATTTGTTTTGTCGAAAACTATCCAATGCGGATAATTCCCGTAATTGTTTTTAAAAATATGATGAAGTTGGGATTAGGAAATTAAATAATAATACTTGGATTTTTTGGGGAACAATTTAGAAGAATTTATTTGTCCCCAAAGGAGGAAAACCCAGCTAGGCTGGGAAAAAACCTCCTTGATGAAATTATACAAGTAAATTGTGTGTGTGTGTGTAAGTGTGAATGTGTAAAATTACGTTGCAATAACGCAATAGGGGTGAGCTCAGCCGCCTTAGATAGAAAATTATCGATAATTTGAATTAGATAAGTCCCAAGGTGGGAGCTGGTAATATCTAATTAATTTGAACTGTCTCAGAGTGAGAACTATTAATGTTCAATTGTCTCAAGGTGAGAGCTAATAATGTTCAATTGATAACAGAATGTTAATCAATTGAGTTTGATGTTTTTCATGTAGAAATTAGTCAAATGATTTGAAATTGGAATTTAATTATTTATAAGTTAAATTAAATAAGATCGTAACTAAATGTTAATAATTAATTCAAGTTAAATAAAATAAGATCGTAATTAAATGTTAATAATTAATTCAAGTTAAATAAAATAAGATCGTAATTAAATGTTAATAATTAATTCAAGTTAAATAAAATAAGATCGTAATTAAATGTTAATAATTAATTCAAGTTAAATAAAATAAGATCGTAATTAAATGTTAATAATTAATTCAAGTTAAATAAAATAAGATCGTAATTAAATGTTAATAATTAATTCAAGTTAAATAAAATAAGATCGTAATTAAATGTTAATAATTAATTCAAGTTAAATAAAATAAGATCGTAATTAAATGTTAATAATTAATTCAAGTTAAATAAAATAAGATCGTAATTAAATGTTAATAATTAATTCAAGTTAAATAAAATAAGATCGTAATTAAATGTTAATAATTAATTCAAGTTAAATAAAATAAGATCGTAATTAAATGTTAATAATTAATTCAAGTTAAATGAAATAAGATCGTAATTAAATGTTAATAATTAATTCAAGTTAAATGAAATAAGATCGTATTTAAAGTATAATTGAATCTACTATAGTTATTTATATTTAATGAATAATTTAAATATTTGAATGAATGTGAGATGCAAGTAAGAATTGTCAGAATTGATTAGCACAGAGTAGTCGTACTAGTACAAGAGTCCAAGCACAACTGTTGCAGCAGACCACGCGAGCCGGCTTCTCTACCGCTAACCAAGGCGCGCATGTGCGACGGCCATAGCGTGATACGATTATTCCCGAGTTCATACGATTATTCTCGAGTTTTAACGATTAAGCCCGAAGGCGTAATTTCTTTTATAAGTATTTGACTAGATCTCTTTTCTAGCGGTTAAACATTATTCATTCTGTTTTTCTATAAGTTGATTATATATATTTCATGTAAACTTTCTCCTTTTGAAATTATAAATTATTTTTAAGTCTCTTGACTTCTATCAACTTTTGAAAAACCATAAATAAAAAAAAAATTTTTTCATCACTAAACTTTCATAAAAATTACTTTTTTCAACGTAAACGTACAATTTATATCTTTTTCTTAGAAATAATTTCAAAGTAAATGATCCGGCGTATTAAACTTTACAAAAGTACTTTATTTTCCAGCATCCCTATCCTGCCCATGCTACTCTCACCCTTACCCTATTTAATTGAAGAAAACATTGTACTACAATTTTATCTACTCACATTTGACATTTTTCAATAAGAAGTGTACAAATAAATTAAATAGTTTTTTCATGTTATGCAAACTTATCTAATTGATGATTGATATCTTTAACTGCATGAGCATAAATATGAATATTTTATTGTTACAGTAGCTGTAGTCATTGCGTTTTTCATATGCTGGGCACCGTTCCACGTTCAACGTCTGATTGCAATCTACGGTACAGGCAACGATCGGGTTACATCAAAAAGTAAAGCTATGATACTGCTCTACAATATTTTCACGTATTTGTCCGGTGTATTGTACTATGTATCGACTACCATCAACCCTATTCTCTACAACATTATGTCCAACAAATTTCGCGAAGCTTTCAAGGTTAGTTCACGAAAAATTATTTATTAAATCAATTAAGTTATGAATTAAGACTTTTCGATAATTAGTTCTATAATAAATACGGAGAAAAATATAAGAAAATCTTAAGCAAATTGCCAATTACGTTCGACTAATTGCAATATAAAGAAAATATTATCGCTTCACAAATTGTCAAATATTTTATTGATGATTTAAAAATTAATTTTTTCTAAATACGAATAAAAACCCAGCCAACAATATGACCTCTTTAAGATTCGGTTAGCGTAACGTGGGGTAACTGTATGCAGCGATTAAGTGTGCGCAATCCCTTTATGAATGAGGAGAGGCAAGTTTGTGATATGTGTAGGCAAATTATAGGTTTGCTGGTGGAAAATTCGCTTATGCAAGAAAAATCCATATGGTATCATTCGTTGAATTTAAAACGAAAATACTAAGAATCTGGTGCCGTAAAGAAAATTTTATAAAATTTGGTGTCATAACAAAGATTGTCACACTGTACTGCGGATAGTAACCAAAGTAAATTAATTTTGTTCCTGTCAATAATGTATTTGAGCTTTTGATTTAGCATAAAAATCCATGAACTCTTAGTTTTGCAAATTTACCTCACACGAGTGCGCACTATTACCTGCAATACGGGGCAAGTGCGTGTATTCTGAATCATTCGGATTAAAGAGGTTCGAGCGTAACATCAGTCAAATTAATGTTTAAATTTTTTTTTACTTTTAGTCTTTCCAATATTCGTCAAAATTTTTTATTTTAATTTAAAATAATTTGAACAATTTAATAATTGATAATTTTTACTTATTTAATAAAATAAAGTAATAAAATGACTTTCGTATTTATTACTTGCCGGATTAAATAAACAGATTTGGCAATAGCGCGTTTGATTATATCCATTAAAGAGACGTGCATGAGTGTGTGAGTTAAATATTTCTCTCTCTATAACTACATTTCTATCCTTTTCTTTTTTCTCAGCTGTTGACGCGACGTTTCTAAATCTCATTCGAATAAATAGCTGATGATAAACGAGTTAAAAACATAAAATTAAACTTTAAATATTTAAAAAATTATATCGGTAATGTATCATTATTAAATTTTTTTTATATTTTACAATAATCCAAGTTTCTTGTGTACAGTTTTTCATTCGTTAAAGTTGGGAGGTTAATATTAAAATAAATAATTAAAATCTCAACTAAAGTTTGTCCGCCATAAGAGCCCGTGTATAAGGAGATAAAAAATGTGATTTTTTAAATTTAATATCTAAGTAACTAAACAGTGAATCTTTTTAAAATTTTGAGATTAGATGAATGACGTATTTATTCATACGTATACTTAATTTCTAAGGTAAAAATTGGAAATTATTTTTCACATTAGATTCGCTCGAACCTCCTTAATCAGTTTTTTTTTCTCCGGAGTGTAAAGGTTTTAGGCTTTATTTTTTAATTTAATTGTTACCGAAATAAGTACTCTTTTAGAGACATACTTTTATTTTCCTGTCATGCTTATCGTTTAATTTTGACACTAGTTTGAATGCTCAAGCGGGCACACTTGCCCTACATGACTCTACCATGCTAAACGGATCTCAAAGACGTGATGAAACATCATATTGCTGGCAATCAAAATTTGTTTTTGCGTGGCAAATATTATTTTTGCGTTATAAAAAATTTCATTTGATTTAAAAGGGTAATTAACTAGATATAACAGCAGAGATTAAAAACTCTCCAGATTACTCTAAAAAAAAGTATTTTTCCACTCGAAATAATTCTTATGCTGAGAAAAAAAACTTGGTATTGTTCTACTAACAATACGTAGTATTTTGCTCAGCACTATACGTATACTGCTCAGAAATATACATATTAGGGGTGTGCGAATATTCGAGTTTACGAATAATTCTCCTCGAATTCGAACAGTTCGAATAATTCGAATAGTTAAATAATTATGAACTCCTTTAGTCAAATAAAATAAAACGAATTAATTTTTACATAAAAATTAGTTGGTTTATCGACAGAAAACGACTGTTTGAATTATTTAAAATATTAGAACTAATCGAATTATTCGAACTATTCGAATATTCGAATTTTGAATCGAATAGTACTATTCGATTCGAACACTATTCGCAAACCCCTAATACATATACAGATTATCACAATACTTCAATTTACTATAGTCAGAATACCAAATGCAAATGGAATGATTATAACCTTATTTTACTGACATAATTTAATTTTTTAACCCGTTGAGGTCACACTTCTTAAAAATAACGTAGTGGTCATACTGGGTCTAGTTGACCCCATGCAGAGATAAAATTGTTGCTACTTGCGTTCTTGTCAATATTTTCACTCGAGCCGTCCATGAAAGTAATTCTTAACACTTCCGTTGAATAACTCAATCGTTTTTTAATTTTTTTTTTTAATTGTTCAATTATAAAAAAAATGCGAGAAAGTCAAATTTCGAAAATTTGGACTTATTTTACTAAAAACTTCATTTTTTAAGATAAATGAAAATGACCTCCTGGATTTTTCTCCGGATATCGCATACTTTGGAGAAAAAAGTGGTGTCATGTCGAGCTTTTCAAAAGTATATTGATTTGTACAATTAAAATCGTAAATTTCCATGAATCTTGAAAAATCTTCAAACAATAATAGATGGTACCAGAGATACCATTTTGAATGATATCTTCGAAGCAACATTGCCTTAGGTCATTTAGACCCATAATGACCTCAACGGATTAATAAGCATTAAAATTATAAATGTAATAATAAACATTAATTTTCAAGTTGTATCGAAAATTGTAATTACTTATAATAATTGTTTAAATTTATTTTCTGAGTAGGTATATGTTACAAACAAATTGGACATCAATATAAACAACACAACATACACGGGAAAACTCGGAATTTACTATAGTATCATTGCACAGATTATAGATCTCAAACTAAATTCGGTATTACTCTGAGAATTATAGGGTAGAAGTACTGTTTGTAGCTAGTGTACCTTTTTTGGCCACTTTATTTTCAAATTATTGTACAAATATTTCTATAAACGCAAGACTTTATGAATTCAATTCGTATAAATGTACTAATTCATAAATTCTATAAAAATTATACTTGAATAGTTAAATTTTTTACAAATTCACTAAAATACCAAGTGGCCAAAAATAGTTTTAGGATGGTCAAAACCGGTAATTCTACCCTACTGATATTTTGATAATCACAACAGGTATTTTGACCATTAGAAAACTAGTTCAATAATACTGTGTATACTGATAGGAACAATACTTCTTTTTCAGTGTATTATTCTATAAATAAATTTTAATTGTTATTCTGACATAGAGCCAAATAAAATAAAATATTTTTCTCCGTATTATATTTCTCTCAGCAAAGGAATTATCCCCCCCCCCCCCTATTTAAGAGTCTAATAAAAATAAAAATAATAATGAAAAATGATAATGATACAGGAAACATTAGCCAAGAGTTGTGGTTCAAGATCGTCAGGTAACTTGGAGCAAAGATCATATTCAAGTTTATCACGTTCGCAGCAGAGGACATTAGGCGGTGGAAATTTTGGCTCACGCACAACCGCCGGTACAGGAATCGGTACTGGAGTCGGGCAGGACAGTTCCGAGGGTTCTGGCAACTCAATACGTGACGAGAATAACCTGAGGATGCAAACAATAATAACGCCGGTGGATAGTAAACCCAGTGATATAATGCCGGTTAATTTACCGTCTCAGCGGCACAGTGATGACAATTACTTGATATTTAACAAAAAAATTAGCAAAAAGTATTCAACTAAGTCTGGTAACACCGAGTTAACAGTTATCGAGAGTAAAAATAATTGCAACGACGATGACTTTGATAGTGAGATTAATGACAAAAATGAAAAAAATACTAGCCGAGTAATGAATGGTGAAATGTGTCATCAGCGAAGACTCACCGATTCTAATGATGATCATGATGTAAGTAAGCGACAAGGGCGCGGTAATAACAAATCAAAGTACTTTGGACTCAGAATAAACAATGACAAAAAGTGGTGGAGGTTTTTTAAGTGGCTACCAGCTGGTGGTGTTTTTAAATTCACTAAGAACTCGAGACAAAATCCCGGTGAATCCGCTGTCAGTGACATTGAGAGTAATCGCGAAGAGTACTCTATGACAACTTGTTATATTGCCGGCGAGCATAGACTTGTTTAGGAAAAAAAATGTTTTTTTTCTTTGAAGAATTAATCGTAAAAAATTTTATGTAAATTAGATGTCAAGAACAGTTCATGCAAGAGAAGCGATTATTTTATTTAGTTCATTTGCTATACCCATTTAAGGTAGTACCACAGATACCACAATTGTTAAATGTTCTACATGGAGCCTTATTTGATTTACGCAGTTGATTATTCTATGCAAAGTCACATCAGAGAAAGAGAGACAGAGATCATTTTTGAAAATTTTTTATTAATTATTACTACCACATGCTCTGAATCTGTACTTTTAATAACAGAAAGTATTCAATGTGTTATTTCTTTTCATCCCGTGAATTTTTATTGAAATCTGAACTCATTTTTTGTAAAATCAAATAAAAACTGTATTACTCAAAAGACTTAAGGGGTTACATAGGTTTAGATGCTTTAAGAAATCGGTTTTTCATCTTATTAAATTATATAACATGGCTAGAATATATTGTTCTAAATTTTCAAGTCAATCGGAGTAAGGTTTTAAGAGATGGAGCCTTAAGAAATTCTCTCAAAGTCAGTTCTGCTAAGCACTCAAAACTTTAAACGTGTTTATCTCGAAACGCTTTTTTAACTTCCCGCTAAGAAAATTGAAAATTCTCAAAAATCAGGAAGTTATTGGTTTTACCCCGTTTTTCGAAAATCGAGTTTTCATCAGATCTCGACGTTTTGAGGTCCTAGGAAGCTTTCCTGACTATTCCCGCGAGGGTGTCACTATGTGTGTGTGTGTGTGTGTGTGTGTGTGTGTGTGTGTTGTTTTTTTTCTTGTTTTTTTTTTTATTTTTTTTAAATATCTCCGAATTGGCTGAAC